AGAGGATCATAATTCCTCAAGTAGGTTTATGTAAATATCCATACAGGTCAGCCTGAGTCCAGTTTGAGTGGAGGGAGGCGGCAGCGCGCGATCCCGCTGAGGTAAAGCAGGCAGCGCGTGAGGCAGTTGTGTGATTGGTCCGCGCGCTGTCGGCTTTAAATGCATAAACTATAAACCTATATATTATAAACCTATCCTTTAGGAATAAATCTGGTCTGCTAGTGAAATGCTAGGAGCAAAAGTGACGCTTGCAGCCCGGCTTTAAAAAAAAACACGATTTTCTTTTTTTCTAAAAACGTAAACAAGCAACGCTTAGCCTGGAGGCGGGGCTAGTAAAGCATGGCGGGCCGCCAGGCTCAAAAAACACTGGGGGGGGGGGGGAAACCCTGACTTCTTCCAAAGTAATAATACAGAAGAAATAGCCTGTCATATGTACACTCACCTGGTATTAAATAATTTCAACACAAGGTTGAAAGAACAGTTTATCAGGCTTGACAAGCACCTATAGGCAAACAATGAGCACATGCCTAGGTGGGACCCATGTGGGGGAAAGGAGGGCTGATATATGGGTCCCATATGGTCTGCCCTCCTTTTCCCCACATGGGGCCCACCTAGGCATGCTGGCTGGGGAACTATTATACAAGCAATGATGTTTTTTTTTCCTTTAATGGATTTGTTGAAACACAATATTCATAAGAAATGATTTACCATTTGCAAGTACAGCAAACAGTGCATGTAACATATGCACACACACAAGGACTTAAGAATCATATTTCTTACAATTCCACAAAAAAAGCCGTTTCATTAATTTAATCCACATTGCATTCAGTTCAGTTTGTTCATACATCAATTCACATCAACAACTGTCACCTCGAGGCATTTTACCCAAAAAAATAAAGTCAATCCAATCAGAAAAAACAAACAAAAAAAAGGAAGGATGACAAGATCTGTGATGGACAACAAATTGGGAGAGGGTGCAGCACAGAAAGAAAAACTGTATTCTTCAATAAGTTATTTAAGCTGTAGAGGGTGAATATAACATGCTGAGATGGGGGGATGGTGCTGGATGGCGGTGGTCCAGATATTTTCTGTTATAGCAGAGAAAGGAAAACATGCCACTCCACAGAAGCAAGACCCAAGACATTTGCAATGCATGGAAATGTTTGCAACACCAATAACCTCTGTCTTTCAGCGCAAAAATTCAATGGATTTAAAATTAGACAAAACAAACTGTGCACTGGTTAGACTGACCCCACGTGAACTTAGGTAAAATTAAGGTTTCCATCTAGATGGGTAAAGTTGCGAGGGACAAATGCAGAAAAGCCTCTACCTGTGACTCCAGATGAAGGTGAGGTTTTATTCAGAGGTGTCAGTGGGGAAGAGTAGCTGTAGGGGTAAAGATAAATATATATGCCACCATTTTCATAGTTTTGCTTGTAACGTTTTGAAACCATGTATCAGTCTCCTCACAAATATACACTACTCCATGTTGATCTTCATCACAGAAAGTTTGTAGGTATAATGAGATAAAATTTAAAATAGTCCCAGAGGTATTAATGCGTTCACCACAAGCTGTAGGTGATCGTGCAGAATCCTAAACTTGTTGCTCGTTTGCTTGAAATCCTGTGACTCCATCAGAGTCTCTCCTTCATAATCTTAGTCTGAATCACATTATACAAGAACAATATTTTCATTTTTACATCATTTTGCATATTCTTCCAGTTACCTAATCTTAAACTAGGAAGTTGTTCTGGCAGTGATTCACATTGAGGTACAGAGTGGTATGGGACTGAAGCAGTCCCACGCAGCCTGGAAACGTTAACAAAACAAATACGCTGTTTCAACCATGCTGACGAGAAGTTTGAATATGATTTAAAAGCTGCAGTTTTCAAGAAATCCCAGAAAAAAATACCTCCAAAATATGTAAAAAAATTAAAATAAAAACTGAAACTGAGCTTTAGTCAAATTTTTGAGTCTCGTAATTACTCTTTTTGTATGAACACGCTAACTGGCTAGCAAGAACCTAGTGTGAGAAATAACAAAATGAACAATTATTCAACATCCGAGAGGTTTCTGTGCAGAGTACCACCCCCAGAAAACGTGCATACATTTATTGGACACAATAGACAGTCTAATTACAGTCTGACCGCAGTTCAGTGTGACTAATTTCAGCAGTAAAGTGATGCCAATTTGGTGCAAGTCAATCTGGACCCAGATGGGTGGATTTGCTGAAGTGCTGAGGGTTTGAGTGAGTTGGTACCTGTTCAGTAACAACATGGATCAATGCGTTTCCGCATTTAAACATTGAGTGCAGCCAACAGATCAATAGATTCTGAACTTCATGTGTAGCAAGTCATACAAACTAACAGCGCCACACAGTTATTTTTCCATGAGTGACTTAGAGTAAGATAAAAAAAAGGGGAAGCTGAAAGATAAAACATGTTGCGATAAGAGACCATGAAGAAAGGAAAGTTTCAGGGCATCTACAGAGCGAAGCATCAGAGCTGCACAGTGGTATAAGAGGTCATGTGAGGAAGTGAGGATAGAAAGAAAAAGAAGTCAGCAGAGACAGGAAGTGCACCTGGCATTACGCCCTTCAGCCAATTGATTTTCTACTGTTTTACACTTTTATTCACAAAGCAGAACAGCCTGCTGCTTTGGATCCTTCACTTGTGGGACTCCCCAAGCTCCTCTCAGACAAGAGGAGTTCCTATTCCACAAGGTTCTCCATTTGTGTTTGTGGTCTGCATGCAAACAAGCTCTGTATTTGATGTTATTTGCAGCCTAAAATAAATTCAGGCCAACATTGCTTTTTGCAATTTGTTTAACAATAAGACCATATATACTTAAATTAATCTTTAGGTGCCTGAGGTCTGTTAGAGAAGATAATAACTAGTATAATACAGGAAATTAAGTCATTGTTGAGAACAGACAGATGTTTTGGAAATTTGCAATAAGATGATAATCCTCATGCAGAGAAGTGGACCATTCAGCTACTAGGAGCTTTTAAGAGGTAAATCTGGGATATTTGTTTCAAACGTACGCAAGGATCTGTGTGCACTCCTGTGGCTAAGCAGCAATTTTCAGACTCTAACAGTACAGGTAATGTACAGAGATCCAGCATAACATTATGACCACATGTCTAGGACTGTGTTGCCTCCTTTTTTGTTCTTAAAACAACAACAAATTAAGGGATGAAGTCAAAGGCAATCTGTGACATCTGCCAACAAGATCTTAGTGACCGATATGGCCTCTCTGTTGCTGGGGTGGAGCCTCCATAAATCTGACCTGCTTGTCAATAACAGTGATTTCTGGTTGAATTTAGAAGCCAAATCAAGACCTGGAATGAAATGTGCTCCTCAAACCATTCCTGAGTCTTTTATGATTTTTGGTATGTCACATTGTCCTGTCGAAACGAAGCAACCGCCACTGGGAATGCCCTTCCAATGAAAGATGTACATGGTCTGCAACAATAATGCGCTCTGATGTATTACCCAGGTGAGTTAAACACACCTGTGTGATAAATGAAGCAAGGCTACCTTCCTGAATCGGTCGGTAGTCCAGTTTTGATGTTGAAATGCCCATTTTTAGTTCTTTTGGCAGTGAACAGAAGTAAGAATGGGCACCCTCCCTCATGAGTTTAAAATACTGCTGCACTGTGCACACTTACCATTTCAATCAGAACTAGGATTAACTTCTTCAGTGTTTCAAATACAGTATCTGATCGGCTGCTCAAGAGCCTTTTCACAACTGCGCCTTCCTGGAAGCACTTGACAACACTCTTGAAGAGATGCAGATCTGCAAATGCTCTGACCCAGATATCAAAAACTGGACCTGCACAAACTCAAATCCTTAATCTCACCCATTTTTCCTGCTTATAATACATCAACATTGGGGACAAACTGTCCACTTGCTGCTTATAAAACATGAAGAGACAACCAATGTGATTTACTTCACCATGTCAGTGACCATAATTTTTATACCAGGATTAATGACATGTAAAAACAGAAATCAAAAGTGAGACAATAGTTGTATTATAGGTGCCCGTTTAAGTAAAACGGGAATAATATTTAAATGAGACTGAATAGCAGAAACAGTGTCCAGGCTGCAACTGTTTCTAATAGCGGGAAATCATCCCATTAAATCAATACCTCGTGTCCTGTTCGCAGCTCATCCGCACGTGGGGACAAAGGGAATCCCGACGCCTCTCGCGCCCTGTTTCCGGATGAGAGTCACCGAGTCAAGACATTTAATTAATTCCGGTCCAGCGGTTGTTAATCGCCGTCCTAAACTCGGATGGGTCCACACCACAGCCCTCCTTGCAGGAAGTCCACTCTCTGCCACTGTTGGTTTCCTTTCCTTCCCCCCCCCCCCCTTTTTTTCTACATTTAAATGCTGTTGTTGAAATTATTCACATCCTCAAAAGAGTTTTTCACCGAAACTGAAACAAAACTGTAACGAAAGTCGTGGGGAAAATCCAGGAAATTATCTTTTGTCCCAGCTGTATATCTCTTCAACATCCACAAGCCGAGCCATCCTTCCTAATCGAAGTGCTTTATGATTTTACGGGAGCTTCGCTGCTTTCGCGACTCAAATTCATCTGAAAGTCGGATCTTCCCTCCTCCGGTTCCTCCTTCTCCTCCTGCACCCTCCCTCAGCCTCAGCAGAGGAGGAGTGTGGACCAATTGAGATGCAGAAACATCGAAAGAGAGCTTTTGAGAAAAGAAAGAAAGAAAGAAAGAAAGAAA